CTTTTTTAATCATGGCCAAAGACCCTTTAAGAAGGAACAAGTCTTAAGCCAAACACATTTTTGACAACACAGAAATACAGAATATTTGAATTCACAAATTTTGAATGCAAAAGTAGACAGTTTCATCAGAAACCGTCCACAGCCTTGAAGCTGGTTGCCACAGACAGGTTTGAACGCACAAACAGTTCATCACACTTGTAATGCACATTTGCTTGTCCGGTGGTACAAAGAGCAGTTAAGAATTGTGAAATGATCAGATGAATGCTCCTTTACTGTTGTCTTAAGAAACGGACATGTGCACAGGTGCCATTCTAAGGAAATCTTTCCACCAAACCAACAGCGAAGGGTTCCGGTAGTTCTGTAATGTTTTGGGCACATAATTTCTCTCATAATTTCCTAAGTAGTATACTTCGTGTCTACTGAATGGTCATCTTATCCCTTCTTGCCTAAACCAGCATGTTTTAGATATTCTGGGATAACACCTCTATTAACTGCTTATGAGTTAATCAACTTTCTCGTGTATGTTTGATCCCTCTTACAGAATTCCAGACACTGGTTGATTTTATGACATGGCTCATAATAACCGTACTGGCCACACATAGTGGCCCAACGTTCCTATACATCGGTGTTTCCATTCTTATCCACTTCTTGTATTATGTACTTTTTGTAGGACCTCTAAATTCTGTGTTTCTTTGTTGTTTCAGATGAAAAAGGAGTTAAGTGACAGTGAGTCCATTTCTCAGGAGATTGTTGGAAACGCCCACATTGAAAACTATGCTATAAAAATGTTCCTCTATGCAGACAATGAAGATCGATCAGGGCGGTTTCACAAGTAAGGCTATGCATTTTCTTTTAATAAGATTTTGGAAAATATGTTGAATGTTTTACTTTGAAGATTTAACCTCACCTGAAAAGTAATGTCAGGTCTATCACTGTAGACTTTACTGGATGACCAAGGTGCTGCTTTGCTTGAACTTAAGTGGGCATACTGTCCCATTTCAAAACTGTTATACTATCTATAAAACTACGGATTAAATACTTTTTTTTTAAAGTTCATACTAGTATAAAGTATAAGTATAATGAAGACTGATAGGGACGGCTGGCAATGCATTGTAGAAACCGCTCCGCTTCGCTATGGAGTCTGCCGATGATGATGAGTATAATGTAAAGTATAAAGTGATATATACTATATCACAATATTATTGAATGACTTATGTGTGTAAGTGAGTTGTATTTTAATGCTGGTTGCTTTAGTCCTTTTAAAAAAAAACTGTTCACTTGTAATTCAGTGCCGTGCAAAAGTATTTTATACCCTTCCTACGATATTTTATTTTGAATAAATTACAAAATGATTCATACATAATGTTGATTGCTTAAAAATTCAGATCCCTGAACTCAGTATTTAGTGGAAACATCTTTAGCAACAATTAAAACAAGTGTTTTTTTTCTAGTAAGTACCAGATTTGACCCAGTTTGGTACTATCACCGTTTTTAAGGTTGTGCTGACTGTGCTCACAGGAATATACAATGACTTCTATACTTTTTGTACCCTTTTCCTGATTTGCACTTTTTCAAGTGACTTTATTCTTGACTTGCTATGAAAGATCCTCCGTCTTTAGATTGAGTCTTTGCTTGACATTCAGTACCCAGCCAATGAATCTCGCAAAGACAGGATTTATTCTGAAATCATGAGATGTTATTGCACATGGAGGCCACTAAACAAGTCTGTGGCCCCTGAATGTAATTTTGTACACCTGTGTATATTTATACAATTATGACTCTTGTATTTTTCTATCATGTTCATAATCTGTTTGCTTCTTTTTGCATTTTTCTTTGCACGTGGAACAGGTTGTGTATATAACCAATATTAAAATGGAACTGCAACACTATTTTGGATTACGAAAGAAACGTGTGAACCTACAATTTGCATCACAAGATAGACAAAATCTCCAGGTTTGCACTGTACCATATTCTACGATTCAGAACGAAGCACATTTAATTGGTATTTCAAAGCGTCATGAATGCTAGCTTTAATGCAACAATATGTGAAACCTGTGCAAGGAGCTGAATATGTTTGTAGCACACTGTATATAAAATATTTTCAGGAACACTTAAGGAATAGTCAAATTAGATTAAATACAACAATCATATCGATTCTTACAAAGACCATTAGAAGCATTTCTTATTAATCGGAGATCATACGTGAACCTGTGGCATTATTTAGGTTAAGCAGTTGTAAGCAGGAGAGTGTCAGAGGAGCTGCAGTGTGGCCAGCATTTCAGAGAAGGGATTAGGATATGTATTTTTGAGAGACTGGATAGTTTAGATAAATTTTGAAGGTAAATGAGACCATGATTGGCAGACAGTTGTGGCAAGGTGGCACAGAGGTTAGCAATGCTGCATCGTACAACTTGGGCCACAGGTTAAATTCCTGGGGTGCTCTCTGCATAGAATTTGTATGTTCTTCCCGTGTTTGTGTGGGCTTCCTCCAGTTGCTCCGATTTTTTCCACAGTCCAAAGATGTACCGGTAGGCTAATTTTCTTCTGTGAAAATTTGGCCTTAGTATGATTATGTGCATTTGTGTCTGTGTGTGGTCTGCAATGGACTCCTGTCTTGCGCCAGTTGCTTGCCAGATGAGACTCCAGCTCTCCCTTGACCCAGAATTGGATAATGTGGTTAATAAATGGATTGATGCATTGGCAGACAGTGTATATAAGCCCGGCAAGGAGTATATTTTATACATTCACCGTAGAAAAAATATTAGGAACTCCCAGTGAATACCTTGAGAAGCTTGAAGAAGAAGTGGCATGTATTCCACAAGATTGGTTTTTCAGTATTTGTGAAAGTGAAAGGTGTGTCAGGGACCCCAAATCGACTATAGTATGCTGTCTCATTTGATCTAAGATTGCTAATATTCCCCGAAAAAGTAGACAGACTCCTCTCAAGCTCAGTTGTTCTTCATGCTGGAAGCAGTGACATTGACATAAACAGTAATATATAACAAACTCAGAAGCCTTGGCGATAAACTAAAGAACAGGACTACATCAGTGTTTTTTCAGGAATTGTTCACCATTCAAAGATGAACACTTGGAAATGTTTAATTTGTAAACACAGCTGAGCACTTGAAAGCTGACATCTTCTTCAGCACACCATGATCACTGCAAACCTTTCTATGGCAAAGGCCTACTGAGGAGGTGTGATTAAATATATCTAAATAAAATTGGGACCCATTGACGAGGGCTAAAAAACATTTTAGCTAAAATGGAAGAGGAAGAAAGAACATCTTCAAGGGAGATCCACAGAGAACAGTTCCTAAAAGAGAACCCCAGGAAAAAAACAAAAAACAAAATAATTAGTTTTACCTGAATGCCAAGACTATGGGGTAAAACATACAAAATATAGATACTACTGTTTAGCAGACACTTACAATATAATTGAAAGTGATAGATAAATTGGAAGAGGTGGAATTAGAGAAATATACAGCAAAGAGAATATTCAGGCACAAGAAATCAACATGTTGCTCTGATTTACAAAACAACATTCAAATGATGTGGTATTAGCAGTATGCTACAGGTGACCCAATTCAGATATTATAATAAAGTAATATAGTATGTATAATAGTGATGTACAGTGTATATAAATAAAGAGGTAGTTATGGGAGACTTCAACTTTTCCAATACAGATGGGGAAAGATCTATAAGAATATTGGTAGAAAAAAAAATGAAATTTTAAATATGGTTAATGATAGTTTCCTTACCCAGTCTGACAGAGCATCTACAAGAGGAAATGCTTGTATAGATGTGATCTGTTCAAGCAATCAAGACAGAGTGAGGCATAGGTAAGAGACACATTACAGAACTGTGGTCATAGATACTGTAGGATAGATATGAAATCACTGGAATGTGCAACAACAGTTTAAACAAATTCTTCTTGAATCACAGAACCAATTTATCTTAAAGGTGCAAAAAAAACAAATCACAAATGGTTTAACAAATCAGTTAAGAAAAATATGAAATGTAAATACCAGGGAAAAGGTGATTTATAAAATGACTGAAATTAAATGAATGATGTTGTATTTTATGGTACAGTTGGTAAAAATGGCAAGTTAGCAAATTATACCAAAATAGGTATATTGGCGAACACCATAGAAGCAGTGAAAGGAAACCTAAAAATATTGTAAATATTCAAGAATAGGCATATACCTGGTAGAAGATATTTAATGTAGGTACAGTAAGTACAGGCATACAGGCAGCAATGACATGAACTAGCATCAAAAAAGGGAAAACACTGAAGCTGAAGACTGAGGCTGATGGCTACATTTTTCAAACCTTTCCAAAAGAGTTTTTTTTTTTACGAAAAGGGTATTTATAACAGCAACACATTGCCTACCATTGAGAAAGTCTACTAATTTTCCATTTTAGGTTTCTAACTTTTTCCTAGGTGACAGAAAAAGGATTCCACAATTTTAAGCAGGCATTTCATAATTATGGCCAAGTGAATTTCTAGGTTTCTGACACTGGCAAATGGCAGCCTATAACAGTTTCCAAAATGAAAAGCCAATCTTCAAAAAAGTTTTATGTTTAAAAGCCAACCATTGAGAGCTCCATCGTATTGGCATGCAACTGAAGGTTGTTCAAGTAGGTGCTGCGTTACAGTGGTGGATGAAGTGAGTTCCCTTTGTAAGAGAGAGTACATTACCTAGAAAGTAATAGAGTGACATACTGCCTTTTGTCAGCTGACTTGGAGAAGACAGTTGGTCCAGTTGAAAATATTTTGGGATGCTTCGGGATGAAAAGCAATATAGAAATACAGGGTATGGTAATAATTGTAAGAGAAAGGAATGTAAGATAATAGGTTGTGGCTGTTCAGAACTTTTAATTGTGTAAGTTGTGATAGCAACAGAAGATGATCTAGCTGATGAAAGCCCAAATCCTTTTAAGATTCAAAGGCAATTCCCAAATGAATCCTCCCCTAAAACTGCAGTAGGATGCTTCTTAGATATTCTGCTTGACATAGTAAGATAAAGGTCCCTAATTGACCTGTGAATGGGGAGCTGGATTAAGAACTTGTTAATCACTGGAAAACAAGAGACGCATTGTAAGAGGGAGTGTATCAGAATAAGAGTACTGGCTTAGGTCTAATGAGGGTCATTTCTCAGAGTCATGACCATAATGTATGTAAATAGCCATAGGCTAACTGTGAACTTTTTAAAGATGCTGACCCCGGAGTATCTTGGGTCTAAATTGATGAATGGGGAGAAAACACAAAGGGTACAGTGACAAGACATTACAGCACCAAATTAACTGCCCCACATAAAAACCAACGAAAACGAGTTAGATTTTCACCCTGCCTGATATAGGTATAGAGACTTTAAATTCTCATTAGAGAATAATCTGCATTATTGGACCCATGTTACATTATTTTATAAGCTTCTCCAGTGTTCTGTGTGACATTTCTACAACTTAACCACTAACTCAAAGGCAAGTTAACTTCTCAATGACTCTTGATTTGAAATGCTGCATTGTCAAACATGGTTCTACAGAACTACCAATAACTATTTTAAGACCATTAAAAAATGACAAATATGTCTGCATGTTTAGTTTTCATGCATTTTAGTGCATTTTAAATATCCCTGGTCTTGGCATCAAAACATTTTGGGGGGTGTTGGCAGACAGATGATAAGTGTACCAGTGTGATTTATTAATGTTAATTTCACTTTAAATGCAAATAGGCAGTGACATCAAAATTTCATTCAAAATTGGTGATACTGAATTTTAGGTTTATTTTCAAACATGGGTGTGTTCTGGTAAGAAGTAATGGAACTGCTGGCACAGGATAACTGATTCCATTCCCCATAACAACTGCACAAAGGCCTTATTGATCCTCATAGGACACACCAACAAAATAACTTTTATAGACCAAATTGTGCCAAGTGGTAACACAGCTTCAGAGTACATTCACACGTGCTGCAGGGTTTTTTTTTTGCTAAATTGAGAGGAAGACTTTCAGTATAGCTCAAACATATGGGAGAGGGAAATATTCAAATAACTCCTAGGGTAATAATTATGAAGTCTGTTTTGTAGTGCCAAATAAATCTAGCCCTTTATAGTACATCTGTGAATGTATTCAGTTAAAATATGCAGAAACCAGTTTTATAAAGAAAATTAAGATTCCAAACTTTGTTTAGTGTGACTATACCCAGTATAGTCTTGTATATGTGAATGGGCTGTCAGACAGCTTTATGGCACGTGTTTGGTTATGGATTGTATATAGTCTCGTACTGTTTCTGAATATAGACCTCAACAATGGCGAAGCCAAAATGCACAGGTGTTTCCAGAATATGTGCATACATACTGTACATAGACTTACATGGAAAGGACCAATGACTATCCTTCCATCCATTTTCCAACCACTTTATTCAGTACAGGGTCTTGGGAGAGTCAATCCTGCAAGCCTGTCACAGTAAGCAGTGGGAGCATGGCAGAGGACGCCCTGGGCATAGCGCCAGTCCACCTCAGGGCACACACAGACACAAACACTCACACCAGGGCCAATTTCCCCAGAAACCAATGAACCTACCAGTATTTCTTTGGCCCCTGGGAGGAATTTGGAGCACCCAGAGGAAACCCACGTGAACACGGATAAAGAATATATAAAAGTCCATGGAGATTGTACCCCAGGTGTGGATTTGAACTCGGGGCCCCAGCGCTGCAAGGCAGCAATTCTAACTGCTGCAACATTATGCCACCCATGACAGATACACAGAATTGTTTAAGACGTTTTTAGCTTTTTAAAATTAAAATGTACAAATACAAAGGAAATATGGCACTATGTCACAAGTAACAACAACTTTAAAGGTTTGAAGTATTAAAGTCAAAGTAAAATTTTATTGGTAAGCCAACCTTTCAGGTTGTTAATAATTTGTTGTGGTGCGCTAAAAATGACAGAAATACAAAAAAAGAGAAGAAAAGGTATAAATGGCATATATCATAGACAAAAAACAATACAGTGCTAGAGTACATTGAAGATAGACATCCATTTAGCCAAGTACAGAATTCTCCCTTGTGCAAAATTAACAATACTTTTATAACAGTGTTGATTAAAAAGACTGAAGAGCCTCGGGATTAGTGCTCTTCCGGAACTGCTCTGTTTTAGATTTGATACATCTAAACCTTCTTCCCAAGGAAATAAATTCAGACAAGGAAAAAGCTGGGTGAGAATGGTCACTGATCATCTTTAGAGTTTCCGCCATTTAAATCAAGAAGTTGTTGGACCAATCAATGCAGCTGTTTTCTCTCTTAAGAGGGAAAGTTCCCAAACCAGAACATAACAGAAAAAGTTAACACGCTCTCAACAGTTGCCCTGTAAAAATGGACCTTGGCTTCCTAATTTATATGAATGGTGTATTTTCTGGTACAATTACCAGATTACAAATGACCAGTTCTACCTGGTAGAAGATATTTACAGTACAGTGGTGCTAGAAATTTGTGAACCCTTTAGAATTTTCTTAATTTCTGCATAAATTTGACCTAATGTTCTTCATCTAAGTCATAAAAATAGATAAAGAGAACCCAATTAAACAAATAACTCACAAAATGATATACATTTTCATTCATTTATTGATCAAAATGATCCAACATTAAATGTCTTTGTCAGAAAAAGTGTTGGTGGGCTTTCTAACATGAACTCCCCGCTTTAGGTCCTGCCACAACATTTCTATTGGATTACGGTCTGGACTTTGACTCGCCCATTCCAAAACACAAACTTTTTTCTGCTTCAACCATTCTTTGGTAGACTGACTTGTGTGTTTAGGGTCACTGTTTTGCTGCAAGCAAGACCCACCTTCTCTTGAGCCTCAGTTCACAGACGGATACCATGACATTCTCCTGTAGAATTTGCTGGTACAATCCAGAATTCATAGTTCCCTCAGTGATGGCAAGCCGTCCTGGTCCCATGGCAGGAAACCATGATACTGATACTGCCACCACCGTGTTTGACCATGTTGGGATGAGGTTCTTATGTTGGAATGCGGTGTTTGGTTTTTGCCAAACATAAAGTTTCTCATTTAAGCTATAAAGTTCTATTTTCGACTCATTCTACAGAACTCCGACTCCGTCTACAGAACATTCTTCCAGTAGTCTTCTGGCTCATCCAGGTGGTCTTTAGCAAACTTTAAACTGGCTTCTTGGAGAGTAGTGGCTTCTACCTTGCTATCCTCCCATGCACACTTTTCTTGTTCAGTGTTTGCCAGTGCAAAAGAGGCCTGCAGATCCTTAGATGTTACACTGGGGTTCTTTGTGATCTCCCAGAATATTATACGCTTTGCTCTTGGAGTGATTTTTGTTGGATGACCACTCCTGGGGAGAGTAACAATGGTGTTGAATTTTCTCCATTTGTACACCATCTGCCTGACAGTGGATTGGTGAAGCCCAAAGACTTCAGAAATTGTTTTGTAACCTTTTTTCAGCCTGATGAGCATCGACAACTCTTTTTCTGAGGTCCTCGGAAATCTTTGATCAAGGCATGGCATGCGTTCACAAGCCTGTGTGGTGAAGACCAGACTTTGGTAGTGAAGACTCGGGTTTATGTTTTTTAAATAGGGCAGGGCCACCTAAACCCACACCTGATTGTCATCCCATTGATTGAAACTCCTTATTCTAATTATTCCCGTAACACTGAACTGATAATCCTAGAGATCAATGTCTTTTTGATCAATAAATGAATGAAAAAGTGTATCCTTTTGTGTATTGTTTATTTTATTGGGTTTCTTTATTTTTATGACTCATGAAGATCTGATCACATTATAGGTAAAATTTATTCAGAACTTCCATTTTTTGGAATGGTTGACAAACTCTAGCACCATTGCAGGTCAGTACAGGCATACAGGCACCAATGACATGATCTAGCAACACAAAAAGGGAAAACACTGAGGCTGAAGACTGAAAGATGGGCTTTTTTATTGACCTCCCATTTCAAGGTAGAGAAGATTGTGCCATGAAACTTAAAGGTATCTGCCCTCTTCACTGTCTGATAATCAATCCCAGGAGGTTGTCATTCTGTCACATCTGAAGTCAAATGTTACCTCTTTGGGTTTAGTTATTTGAGCAGGAGATTGTTTTGACTGCAACAGCTCACCAAAGCAGTGACCACCTGCCTGCACAGAGATTTGTCTGTTGTTATTAGCCCTGCCAGTATCGTCAGCAAACTTGATTAATTTCACAGATCATGTAGTAGATACATAGTTATTTGTATACAAGGAGTATAGAAGTGGTGACAGACAGCAGCCTTGGGGGGCACCTAAGTTTAAAAAAAGTGGCTGTGCGATCTTCTGATGTACTTTGACCACCCGCCTCCTGCCTGATAAAAACAAATCTAGAACTGGATATTTTTCCATTGTGTGATAAAGCACTTTGGGGAATGAAAGCAAATATAGAAATATTTTATTTATATGTGGACATAATTAATGTTTTAGTCCTTGTTATACAGACTTTAGTCTACAGGAAATGTTTTCATTGCTTCTTGCAAAAGCACTGATTTTCAGAAGCACAGAACTTTATGATCAAGTGTTAAATTCACTATTATATCATTTTGGGGATGTATAGTTAACATTTATGAACTCTTTTCATGGCTTCTTTTCGTGCTCCCTGTCAATCTGTCGTATCCCACACACAAGTACAAAAATTAGGAGTTATGGCATTGCTGTCTGTACAAGAATCCAACTTCTGTACATTTGGTTTGTGTTTTGTCCTTCTTTTGTTTTATGTTGTTTCACTCTAAATGAATCTGCGATTTGTAATGGTTGATTAACATTTTATTTCAACATTTATGTCGTACAATCTAACATCATGTTTTCAGTCCGGTCTGCAATATAGACAAAATACATACCACTTAAACTGTTATGAATGATTTCATGCCTATAGGATCATTGTCTTCTTAAATGGCAAGCACAAGAGGTAGTGTATACTTTCATGGATTTATGCTGTTGTTTTTACTTTTTAACAGGAATATGATAAAGTCATTCTACACTGCAAGTCTCTTGTTTGATGTTCTTTCAGTGTTTGGTGAGCTTTCAGAAGAGGTAAGCCAAGCGGCTAAAATCTTGTGCATTTAATGCAGGTGGTACACTTAGTTTAAGCATTTATCTTTCAACCAGTTAGATGTTTTAGAGCAAGCACAGTGGTAATGGATACAAACAGTCAATATGATATGGTATATTAGGATTTTCATAAGACCTTTGATAAAGCTCCTTATATAAAATGAATTCTTATATTCCAGTCTTAAAAAACATTGAAAAATACCTGTTTATGTTAACATATCATCTTCTAGACAGTGTGTTATATTTGCAATACAATTTTAAGAAATGCTGAAATATATGCTTACATTAAGGAATGTTATGGTACAAATGTACCATGCATTAGTAAGACCTCAATTTGTACCTCAGAAGACCTCAAATTGTACAACTGTACCTCAGTTGTACAGTTTTGGTGACGGTACTGCAAATATTGCTACTTTGGGATTTCCAGTGGAAACTCACATCCTGGAATGTCCTTTACTGACAGGCTAACAAACTTTTAGTTTTGAATATTGATGACTGTGAGGGTGCATGATTAAAAATTCTTTAGGTATTGACAGATTCAACCCATTAGACATCTCCAGAATTGTCAATGAAGCATGAACCAGCTAAGACAAGTGAAAACTACAGGGAAGTGCATTTAGAGGACAACAGGAAGCACCTCGTACACAAAGGGTTGTGGGAGTATGGAACAAACAACCCAGCCATTTTGTTAAAGCTAATACCCTTTTGAGAAACAGTTGGATGGGATCCAGCTAAAAAAGCAAACAAGCTGGATGAGCCAAATGGCCTAATTTCATTTATACTCTTTTCATTCTTTATCACATTTTTTTCCTTTCCCATCAGCTCTGGAAAGTCTATTCAGAGGCAGTTTTATCTGGAATTGTTATAAACAGTCCAAGCAGAAATAGCAGTGGCACAGAGGATATGATAAGGTTAAAAAGTAAAATATACAGTAAATGAAAGTAAAGATACTTGACTAAGCTACTATTTAAGTAGTAATTGTGAAGATATTTGCCTACTTGCTTATTTTTATTTTGCATACCAATTCAGAGAACATGTTAAATAATTTTATGGTTTGCTGAGTGGAAACAGTCTGTAAATAGAGGCATTTCAGCTGTCTTTAATTGCTGTTGCCCTAACATTCAGATTTAAACATCTACATTTGTGTGCTGTTGCCTCAGACATCCTTTTAAAGAAAGAAGTGACCTGTGTCAGAAGACGTACAATGTTTCATTGAGTTTTCTTCTCTCCCTTAGGGGCAGGCATTTCCCTACCGTAGAAAGCACATTGGGTGATGTTTTTTAACACTGCTCCTTCATACTGTAACATTAGCCCAAACAATGAGCCTTCAGAATCTCCCAGATTATGTTACTGTTTGATAGATTTCCATGATGAATAGAAAGGGATTTGGTTACGTACAGAAAGAGAACTTTGAACAGTAGACATAATAAAGCTTAACTTTTATTCAGGAATTAGCTGTCCTGTAATTAAAGTATAGTGCCAGATACAATATGAGCTTTCAGCATGCATACATTTAAAGTGATATCAAAGCTGTAATCATAGCTGTCAACAGACCTTTGTCACAGTTTTAATCATTTTGGATTCTAAGGTTCCAAGTAGAATGGATTTTTTTCACTGTGCCTTATCTTCGGGAAAACTAATGTTTTGGTTTTCCAACGTTCATCACAGCAGTTTGAAGTGAATCTCTGCACAGTCCCATGAATAGTGTATTCTCTACTGGTCACTTTGAATTCACAGCTGCAGGTGAAAACAAACCCACTATGCTAATCTTATTTGCATCTCCATTTAGGCAGTTTGCCTTCTTATCATTTTAAAGGTTTGAGGGAAGTTTATACCAAAAATATAAACAAATCATATGACTTTTCTTCTTCTGTAAATTGCAACTCATTTTATGAGTTAATAACTCACAGGGTTTTAAGAGTCCTGTTAGTAATTTGACATCATAAAACATGTCAAGTTTTATCCCTAAATGCTTGAGGATTCCCCTTCTGCAACAATAGTATGGAGATTGCCAAATCAGAACAAGAATTAAATAGGCATATTTTCTTTAAGATATGTATCAACTGAGACTACAGTAAAACCAAGTGTTTTTAATAAAGTAATAAAGTGTATATTAGTATATGTCTATTAAGTATCCAATATAATCTATGCCAACTGCCCAAATGGACATTGTCTCTTTTCTTTACTTTTAACTGTGTCACTTAAATACTGTAAATGTTACAAGAGTCTGCTTAATAGTCTGCCCAGCTAATGAATACATTGTGGTCCTCATGCAGTGCAAACCCCTGTTGCAACCATGCGGTAGCAGCTACTTCTGGACCATTCTCTAAGAAAAACATGCTGAACTGTGAGATAGGAGCCTTTAAATGGTCTTTTGTTTTTACATCTAATTAGAAATAAGGTGATGGTTCTGATAAATTTGAAAATGTCACAACTGAAGCCCAGCATGCCTCCCTTCCCCCCCAAAAAAGGTCATAAAGGTTATATTTTTTCTTCTTACTATTATTTATTAATTAACTCATTCATTCATTACACTCTCCTTTTTTCTTCATTGCAGAACATCCAGCACAGGAAGTATGCTAGGTGGAAGGCAACTTACATCCACAACTGTTTGAAGAATGGCGAGACGCCCCAGGCTGGGCCTATTGGAATGGAAGGGGAAGCATATGGTGAGGGCTGATATTAACAATCAGTGGTACAAACAAACCGTGGCTCCTGTTAACAAAATAAATTTTCTTGAGCATTTCTGAAGGCGCATTGAAGACTATTTCCTTAATGGGTATACTGGCATACTCGTGTTTGTAAAGGTTAGCCACATTGTGTTCTCAAGAGCCTTATCAAGTTTAAAGTTTGTACAGAAACATAGACAAGAACCCTAATGGCTCTCAGTGCAGTTAAACTGATTTTTAACTTACCATTCTTTAAGACTTCTTATCTGTTAAATATTACGGGTGGAGTTTAATTCTGCATTTTTTGCCTCTGTAAGTAAGTGATATAGCTGTGAAATATGGTTTGTTACTTTTCAATTATAATAAAATATTTTTTCATCTGAAGTAATTCTTATTAGGGCAACAAACTTTTTTTATTTAATGATTTTAATTAGAAATTAGATGAAGATTGGCAACAGCTCAGACTATTGGCAATTATCATTATATAGATCATCGGGGGTTTGAAAGTCAGTTAAAAATAAGCAGTGGTTTTAACACAGACTTGGTGAGGAACATTCCAGCATATAGTAGTCTATGATGTGAACCTGATCGTGGTTTTCATAGTCAGCCAGACCCATAAAACGTCTCTCCACTCAACATCTGCTGGGTGTGCTGTGTTTGGTCTGACCTGTTCATGTCAGAGATGAAGTCATGTTCTACACTGTCTGGTGGGATTGCTTTAGTTTGTGATTCCACACTGAACATAAACATAGGACAGTGCCGGGGGGACATATTTGTTTTGCTGTTTGGCTTGGAAGGTAACTTCTATCAAGTTGTTAGTCCATATCATTTGAACAGAATTATATTGGCATTTGCAATTCAAATTTTATGTACAAATACTGTATATTTGGGTCTTGCGCTTTTATTAATTTTATGTTATGTTTAGGAGGTCTCTTGAGAAGGATCTGGGCTTCACACTCCAAGGAGTGACATCATGTTAAGTAATTCTCAATGATGTCTAACAAAGCCAAGAGAAAACTGATATCATGGTCTCTCCCCCACTATGTCTGCACATCAGGATCTTATCTCGCATTGTTTCCTTACATCTGTCAAACATGCACAGCAGAGGGGGATGTTCAGAAAAGGGAGCTTACTTTGAATGGTGGGTAAGTGTCGGGAGAAAAGAAAACAAAACCGCAGTCTGGTTAAGTAGTGGTACAGAAGAACCACATCTGTTTCTACTTATTTTATTTAACGAAAAGCAATAAATCATACTTTTATTTGATACAGACACATTGACTATTATCTTGGTACATTCTCATTATGTCCAATTATACTGCATTAACAGAAATCAGTCTACCTTGACCTTTTACATTATATCACTTCTACAATGAATTATTTTTTACATTTACTTGAATTATACTACACAGATAAACCAGGGTTACTACCTGTTGTAATGGGATGTAGGGGAATACCTAAGTATTAGGAGGTTAGAGTATTTTAAGGAAGAGTGCAGAATATATTAGATTGAGTATATATAATTGAGATATTAAATATTTAGATAGTAAAAACCAACAGGAAAAATTGTTTTCCATCATACACTTAGAACGTTTTAATTTTATTCCAGAATCATGTGAAATAATGTTAAATGTAATGTTTACATCATATTACACACACATTTATAAAGCATTAATGGTGAAAATTAACAATTACTAGAGTGTTCTCTAAACCTTTAGTATATAAGGAGTTTAAAACTATGGGAAAAAAACAGAACAAGCAGCTTGAACAGGCCTTTATCTACTAAGCCTCGGCTTATGGTGAATATCTAAACAATCACTGAGAATTTTTTTTAGTCTTAATATCTTTCATGTGCCATGCTGTGCCAGTCAACCTGCTTTGAAGGATGTTGCTGAAAGATTTGCAATAATTCCTGCTTTGTTAGATCCCACAATAAAAGCGCCATTGTTTTAGATACATACAGTATTTGCTTGACTTTTCCATTTGCAAGTGGAGGAAGATAATGAGCAAGGAGAAAGGAATGGAGGGGAAAAAAAAACAGTTTAAACAGAAGAGAACCAATTCCAGGCAACCTTTTTGATTAACATTTTCCTAAGGCATCATCTGTGCTGCTGGAATATGGTTATAACAAACTGTGAATGATAATGCAAGCCATAATTTTCCTGTTCACATAAGAAATCTCAACGTTTTAAGATTATCAAGCACAGGGTTTTAATTACCAAAGGTGCTGAACGTAGAGGCTGAAATAAAGCGTTACCAAGAGGGACAATTTGTTCTTTACTTGCTAGCCATCTTTTCTTCAAAAATGTCTAGTCAATTACAAATAGTAAGAGACAATTTACGTTTGGACTGCACATGAAAGAATTCACTTGTTTTGGAGGTACCAGTGGCCTTTTAGAATGATAGTCCTGAGTCATAATTAAGAATCTAAATATAATAATAATTCTGCCATTATATACATGCTGCAGACCAAACAAAACACATTAACATATTTAAAATAGTTCCTGTCTTTACTTGCCCTTAGGCTACGTATTTCCTTCCTTAGAGTCAATTTTGCTAATGTTTACGGATTAAATGTTCATGCCTGGTCATAAACAGAATCTTGCTCAATATAAAATTAAAGAACATTATTTCTTCCTAGGATTTTCTTATCTATTTTCTCATGAGGATGGAAATGTAATTAATGCAGACTGCAACACACTTGCCCAAGATTCTATCCCAAGGGAAAATAATCTGTTTTACCTACTGTATTATTTTCACATTACTTCTTAATGGAAAAACAAGGCCCTTGTGCCATAATTAAGTGTTTTCCAAGATCATAATTGAACAGGTGTCTCAATGAATAACATCAGAACACTCAATTAAAATAAGTCCCATTGGTAGCCTGCATATTTCATAAGCATGCGTGAATCCTTCATAAGTAAAATAAAGAACTTGTCATACAGGCATGTTGTAATTTAAAAATCTGATTTTTTCCAACTCTTCCGTACTAAAATTATAGTATGTCTTAGCAGAAATTAATTTTAAATAGTTTAACTTTTAATTTTGCAATTTGTCCTTTGGGAAGTTTTATAAAATTAGGTTTGTTCATAATTAGACATCACATTGATCATTCATACTGAACATTTGTCTTAGATATAGACTCAATTATGGATATATTTAAAATCAACTTAAAATTTTTGACCTGTTGGTGGTTCCAGGTCCACTCTTTCTCATAAGGTCAACTCTAATAGGTCCACTCTTACTTCATTGATTATAATAGACATTTTGAAAAGTAACTTTTATATTTCTTGATATCCGCATAGTGTTACCAGCTAAAAGGTTAAAAACAGTTAACAAATTGTGATAAAACAAAGAAAATATTTTAGCCTTTCTTTTAGTTAGGAATTTCTAACTACTTAATTGTTCAGTAGTAATGTAATTCCCCATGAATTTTGAAAATATTTGAGGAAATGGAAATAATACGTATTGACATTTATTATTTAATCTAATCTAACAGAGTCTTCTGTGTATTATTTTTCTGTGCTCTTCTGACTGGGTCTGATATTACTATCTCTTCTTTGACCCTTAAAGCCCTTCCCTTATTGTGGCTTAGAGGTAAATTTTCAGTCATGATATTGAGAACAGCAAACCAGTAGTAACTCTGGCACCTCTGTACATTCTGACATCATATACCTGTTACCAGTTAATTCTAGTCCTTAGTATCAGTTGTGAACATTATGGGGCTGCTTTTGTTTCTTATTTGGGAAGCCTGTATGACTTAGTTAATTTTTCAGTTTATTTTCCGTTCCTGGTACAGTGCAGTGTACTTATAAAACATTTCAATAGTGCAGTTGGACCATATGAAATAATGCAATTAAGGATGTTCTTTACTGCTTTCTGCAGGAAACGCATGTTGTGGAATAATGTTTAGCTTTTTAAATTGGTTTCCTTTTCATGGAGTAATATCCTCTAAAACAAATGTAAAAGACAGGTTTGTTTGTGTGTTTGTATTCTTCCGTACAGAATTAAGATCTTAACCCCCTAAATGTAGTCCTACATTCTATATAACTTTGGCTGGACAAAACAATGCATGACTGAAGATAAGCTAAGATTCACAGGAAAATGTTCCTCTTCTTTCACTGTCAGAACTCTGCACTGCACTGAAATTGTGCTTTTGCCTGGATTGTAGGTTTTGGGAATGTTAGCACCTTCACTTATTTTCCAGGCTTCCAGACGGCTGTTTATATCTGGGTATATTTAAGCAGTTACATGGTGCCTTCAGCAAAATGCGTACTTATTTTGTTTGTTTTTGGCTTAGAAAAAATATTTAATTTAAACCACAGTTATTATCTAACCTTCAAATGGCTCATTCAGAAAATAGCCCTTTTTGAATAAACAGACATTTGTAGGAGAAAAATAGCCTTGAGAAACCAAGAGAGCAAAATAAATCTAAATCAAACAAACAGCAGTCATATGCCTTTAGATTATGTTGCCTATTTCCCATTTGTCCGTCAAAGTCTTGTGTAAGTTTGCACCCATTTTAAAATTATATGTTAAAAAAAGTTTTAATTCCTCTGGGAATTACGAAAGCAATAGAATTAAAGAAGAAAGATGTATCTTCAGTTTTGGAAAGTATTGATATTTTTATTCTGAAATGCAGTATTTTTATTAATTTTGAGTAATACAAACAGACCCTGGGAAAATACACTTGACAACTTTTGTTGGATACACGCAAATTGCATTTTTTTTTAAGTCAAGAAAGCATAGTGCTGTGGTATCAGGCAGTCTGCTTCTGCGATATGTTTTTTATATTGCCATAGTTTTCCAATGCTTACAGAAGCAGTCCTGTACTCGTCTACAGACCATTTTCAAGATTTACAATGAACTCAGATGCTGTTACTGAAGATGAACAAGGTTAATTCCACACTAACAAAACAGAAGCAACACAATGTTTCAGCTGCTGAGCCATCTTCACGAGTGAAGACTGAACAGCTAGAACTTTTTTCTTCTTTCTGCTTTTCAGTGTGAAATTAACATTTTCTTTTTCCTTTCCAAGCTGCACACACAGAAGCAGCTCCCCACTCAAGCTCTTGTTTATTGTTCTCTTTTGGGTGGGCCGACAACCGTGTGACTTACTGTAGATCTAGGTGTTAATGTGTAGGTTATTTTACACAACACATTTCTCTTTTCTGCTGTCATCATGTCAAGATTACGTATTAGTTGCCTTGTAAGCAGCTTTGAAAATTGAAAAGAAAAAGGATTGTACAAACTGAGGTGTATTTGTTGATTATCTGTTCTATGCATACAAATCACCTGACAGCAGCATTAATGCACTTAGAAGTATCTCATTACTATGTCAGGAAATGCTGATCCACTTCTTTAAATACCCCAGGGGCTCTTCATTGATTCATCTGGTAAAAGCCTCTCTGTGGAGGGTAGGATGAGACCAACAGCTGGTACAGAAAATTTGCTGGAACAGAGAAAAGATTGGCTGAGGTGGAATTAAGAATTCCCAATTCTGCCTGGAGGCCTATGGATTCAGCATTTTAAATTGAAGTTGTATTTGTTCTCCCACTAGTTCTTATGTCCCCAATATTTACTTTTTGAATTCACAATGCAAAATGAAATAACTGGTTTGGCACAACATACCATACCATACAGTTTTACTGTTTATTTTATTTTCTGTGTAATTACAGTTAACTACAGTTCAGTATATGGTGAAAAAAAGTACAATACAGTATTTATACATTAATTCTAAGGTAATTTACTTCCTTTCCAGTGCTGAATGTATTGACTGTACTGCATGTTTTTTAAATGGATTCTATATTCAATGTTCTCCTTAGGTAAAATGTTTTTATTTATAAATATCATGAATGGTAATTCTCTCTATGTGTTCATGCAGTGGCTAAGAAAGGGTTGCTTCTGACTTGCATAATATTTGGGTTACATACTGTACAAGACAAGCAGAAGAAGACATTTACATAACTCGAGCAGTGGGTGTGAACTTTGAAATGTCCACACTTCCAATGTTAGACTACAGTGATGTTTATAGAATGGTCTTTAAAGTTGTTCTTAGGAGGCTTTGTCCTTCACTATTTTGTCATGCTTTATATTTGGGCACCTTGTTTTACATATTATCGTGAATTATATTGTTTGAATGTTCAGCTTTCTCTGCATACATGACCATGCTTCACTGGTTTAAACTAATTTACAGATCTTTAATTGCAATTTAAAATGTAGTATTTTTTATCAAACTGTATATTCCAAAAACATCTACCAGAGTGTAAACTAAAACTTGTAGTGTAAACTAAAATGATCCCCCTGTGTATTCTGGGGCATTTGGAGACGTGATTAAATCTTTTCTGCCTCATATTTGGTACTTGTTATCCTCTTATTTTTCATCTTGTCATGTTAATTAAATTTACTGAATGTTCTCATATTTCTTTCACTGTTTTTTTTTTGTGAAATGGTGGTATAAGCCTCTTAACCAGGTCATCAGTGTAAATGAGAACTTGTTCTCAACTGGTTTATCAGGTAAAATAAAAATATTATTTTTCTTAATCTTCTTATTCTGGATTGAGATCTGGCTAAAGGATAGAGCCTTTAGTCTTTGATAGAAACTATATAGAACTTTAGTAGAAACGTTTTTAGTCTTTAGTAGAGAAGATTATGATGGGACTGTGTTCAGTTATTAAAAATCCTCAAAGGATTTCACAAAATTAACCCTAATGATGTCTTCAGAATTGACAAGAAAGAACAAGAGGGCACAAGTAGAAACCATGTGAAACTGCAAAGAAGAAGGTAGTTATCCAGCCATGTTGTTGAAGCTGATACCCTGGCTTTTTTGTTTAACAAAACAGCTGGATAAGAGCTTTAGATCAATTAGGTACTGGCAGCTAAATGGACTAGTTTGGCCAAATGGCCCCTTCTAATTTGGAGCCTCATGTTCGTATGTTTACATGTATAACTAGACATACTGTACAGCAAAGTCATCTGTTGTGTTGATAACCCTTTTGAGTTTCTGTTGTTTTTCCCCACAGATGATGAATATGACACTGACGCCGGGGCATCATTTCAGCCTCTGCAACCTCCGCAGCCTTCCCAGCCAAGCTTCCCCACAGCCGATACAGGTGGTGTGCCACCCTCCAACTTCAGCAACATCCATATTCCACCAGGGGCCCACGCCCCGGCCAACACCCCTGCAGAGGTGCCTCCCACTACAGGTACAGCATGAAAGCACCGTCCGGCCCCTGGCGTGTGTACTGTGTTCAAATAATTAGAGCCGCCTTGATCATTCCATCTCACTGTGGCCTGGTGTTAAAGGTCTTCTGTAAAACAGAGGGATGACTGTACACTACAGTAACCCAGTTATATTTTATTATATATGAGATTTTGTTCATTTACCACAAAGATTAAATTAGATTTTGCATAGCTTTTAAAACAAACCATAAAAATAAATATTGGTTAATGTAGTTCTCTTTTTCTTTTTTCCTCTGGTCTGTTATGAAAGAATACTTTGTCATTTTTAATATGTTTAAAAAGGAAATGTGCCAAGCAACCTTTCTTTTTCCTTTGAGGATACTGGCATACAATTGAATTTACTGGAATATATTTATGTGTTAGTCATGGGGAAGTTGGTATCTCTTTGTAAAGCATAGCATTGCAAGAATATGGCATGACAAAAATAAAAGTAATGCTTCTTGTGTGAGGGCGTTATATATCATTTAAATATATGTATTTATCTAAGTTATAGAAGTTGCTGCTGCTCAAGCTGTAGGCTTGCTTTTACCACATTTCTATTTTTTTTTTAAAACAGAACTGACAAAGAACAAATTAAAATGCAAACCCGTACAAAAGCAAGTCAGACTCCTTCCTTCAAATGTATTCAAAGTGTATTTAAATGTGTTCATATTGTTGAGTTTTCTTCTCACAGTCCAGCAAGTGTGATAGCAGATTATTCAGTTTAGAAGTAACAAAGCGGGCCAAAGCAGCTTTTTGAAATTGGCCTGTACTAACCAAATAAGACAAATACCAACAGGGTAAAGACCTTGTGATTACAACTTGTGTACTTTGGCTTATTTTACATGCATGGGAAACTGGCTTAATCATTTTTCCTTTCGCATTCCATTGTATTTGGAGTATTAGCAAATTTCCTTATGTGATTGCCGAGGTAAATGCATTTCTAAATATTGTGTTGTTAGAATATATCCACTTTGAATTCAGAAACTTTAAGTATTATTCAGGTTGAAGAGTGAACCCTTCCTCTTCTTTGGACTGTGAGTTCTGGTGGCACATTATCTGGCAGAACTGAATGGTTTCTAGACATTTGTATGTATACAGGTGTATCCATACAGGTGTTCTGTTACTGCACAATTATTCACAATTCTGTTATAGGTCAGCAATCAAAAGGCAAATTTATTTTGCTTTGGAGTATTTTGTCCTAAATATAAGTATGGTTTGCAAAATACTGCTGTCAAATTCCCATTTGTAGTGCGCATATGCTATGTTGTCTACACTATCTTCTAAAGATATTTGTTTAATTGCTGGCTTATTGATTTTTTTATAGAATGTGTTACTTTAAAAGGTTTATTCTTATTTCACTTTTTTTAAAGAAATTTCAAGAGATGGGTGGGTCCAGAGCATTGCTTAAACACCTGTGAAGATGAATTTTACTTGCTTGTATCTTCAGTCATTTTTAAATAGTTTGTTTAATTATTTTAGTTTTTTAAATAATGCAGTAGCTACATTGTGTAGTCACAGCATTATGATAAATGTCATTTTTGTACTTTAAATGGTATAGCTATTCTAGTATTTATGAAGTGGTCCACACAGTCAACACATTTTTTAATTATCTTCTTAAAGTAAGTAAGTTTAATCAAAATACTGAACTAATATTAAACTGAAATACATAGACGTTTAGGTTGGGTTAGAAGTTTGGGTTGTATTACAAACCATGGTACCTGCTATGTACATTCTCATTTTCTATACAAAAATTAAAATTAATCCTTATTTTTATAATGTGAGCAGTGTGTTCTGGGCCGGTTCTGTTCAGAACAGCATTTTTCCTTATGAGATTTCCTGTTTTCATTTCTGCACCTTTTAAGAACTGAGAAAAGATTGAGGTCATACCTTTAGCAGAGTATGCTTCCCGTTGTGTGCGCTACTTAATTAGCGTAACTCCCTTTCAGCCACTTCGGAAATGACTAATCTGCTGCAATTGACCCCAGGAGTAGCCCTTTCTAATTAAATTCAGAATAACACTGAGAACTTTTTTAAAATCTAAAAATCATAACATTTCAGTTTTTAGAAATCACGTTCCCTTCATGTTTAAATGCATGTGCTTCCAGGTACTGTATACCCTTTATATCAGATTTATTGTTAATGATGGCAACATCTGTATTGTACTATAGCTAAAGATGTTATTACTGGAATAAAGTCTTAATTCAGGGTTTTTTTGTTCTATAAACACATCCTTTCTAAAAATACTCATATGAATAGTGTTTTGGTGATTCTTAAAAAGTTGTGTTTTTCCTGGTGGCAAACGAGTGTCTGGTCTGTTCCCCTTGTCCACAGGAGAGGCTGTTAAACCTGTGCCTGTTCCTAGGAGCATTCCTGCAGTTGACCCCTCACTGCTGAACACCAACCAGCAAGGTAAGGTCAGGGACTGCAAATGTGGCAAACAGCTCTTCTTCAGTCTGCAGCTAGAACTTGACATCTCTGTAGAATTTAATTTCTCTCTATACGAGTTGAAACTCAGTTTGTCACATTCTGTGTAATACAAGTTAGAAAGTTGCTGTTATTGGACTGAAATGACTCTGTACTTCATTGTAATTCGAGGAGGAGTTGGCACACCGCAGCTAATTTTTTTACTTCTCCTGCTTATCAATACTAGTAAATGGAATTATTGGAACGAAAATGTGTACATATTTTTACAAATCAACTTCACTTCACTGAAATCTCAGTTCTTAGTTTGAGCATTCATTTGGTTAAAAATATTTAAAAATGTGTATCTTTTTAATACAACAAAATGGGACTTTATTGAAAGGGGTTGAAAATATTGGTAAGTTGTGATGCAACTGAGTTTCAGGCCTTTAATGTTAAGTCCTCTTAAAATTAATTATGTAAACATAAGCATATAAAATACAGAGAAATGTGTAGGAGTGGCTATTCCCTTTCTTATAACAAGCACTGTATTAGCCAAACAAGATACTGTAGCTATAAATCTGTTGTGTCCTGAAGATGTTGATGGGCATTTACGGTTGTATCTTTTTAAAAATTAAAAAAGTTGATTTAATTTTGATTGAATGTCTCCCACCAAAGTTTGGAACATTTCCACACTGCACATATGCTACTATGTTCTCCTCCTGATCTGTGACCTCAGTCTCATTTGCTGGGCTGTAGCTGTAAAGATAAAATTGATGATTGATGAGGCATATTTGTGCCTTTTCACAAGCAACAAGCTGTTCAACCTTATACACAGAGTATCTTGCTGGTCAGGCACCCATGTATTTGTATTGTATTCGGTAATCACAACTTCTTCAGAGAGCTTTCCAGACTATAAATTAGCTTATCCCGCAACATGACAACACGTGCCACCACATAACAATGGCTACAATGCAGCACATTAATGAGCTTGGTTTTAAACTGTTAATTACCTAATCTGTAGTCTGAACCTTTTACCATCACATTTTTTATCTGTTTGGCCTGGTAAAGGACGTTCTCTGAGTTTGAGGCTTTTGTGATGATGATATATTGTCGATTTACAGTAAGTGGCAGTGCAGGAATGCCTCAGGAACCAGCCAACATAATTTTCAGTAAGGTCGCGTGTAACCTTTCTTAAGCAATGGCAGGATGCAGTCATACAAAGACATTTATTGCAAGTCTTCCCGATCTGTAAACCATATTGATTGAGTAATTTTACAAAAAATATTTTGCTTAACTTACCCTAGTATAATACCTTTACTGTCCAGCAGTGAGTGACCCTTGACATTAACAAGCTCTAGCGTGATTTTTTGACCTCAGATTGTAATGACTTGAGACAGGTTTAGTGACTGTGCTTGTTGTGTATGATGATCTTGTGAAGGCAGACCTAATGAAATCAGCCCAGTCCTTACTATTCTCTCTCTGACCTTAAGTCCTGCGGTCTTGGCAGTCAGTCTGCTCTGATCTGATATTTGTTATAATCTCTAACCAAGTGGTCTGTCGTCTTCATATAGTCCTGATTACTGTAAATACATGCCATAGGTAAATTACTTGTAAAGTGTACTTTAATGTACTGTACAATCTGTTCTGTGCACTGTATTGCATATTGCTAGTGGCACAATGGGTATGTAATGTATGTGGTACTTGTACTTTTGCAAATGAGTGAGTACTGAGTTTACCACCACTTCTGCTAAACCTACAATTTGGCTGACTGGTGGTAAATAGGAGTTTGTTGTGGGGAACCTCAAGAAAATGCCTTGCCTTGTCTGCATGCAGTGCTGTATATCAGTTATAGCTGTTTATTTAAACTAGAGAACTAGAGTTAATAATTTATTTGCATGTTAGGGGATCAATCCCCACGATCTTTTACATCATTGAAAGTACTATGTATTTTGAAACGTGTACAGAAAGCTACATTTCTAGCAAAGCCACATTAAAACGTCTCCCTGCAGTGGAATTAAAATGAAGGGTGACATGTTTTGATTTGACCTCTGTTATTTTCTATTTTGAGGAGAAAAAAAAGTTATTCCAAGCCACTGAGTAGTGTATCTTATACCAGCAAAAGATACCATGACGCCTAGGATGGATGCTCCTTGTCTGTTTAAAATTTGCTTGAATGCAGATTTTAAAATAGCTTAAACTTATTACAAGTAGACTGTAATATTGATTATATTTTTCTTAAGTGGCACGCAGTCTTCACTGTGATACTACCATATATATCATTTATTTTTATAGATTAAGATTACAAAAAAGTGTTTTATATGAACTAGTTTGCCAATTATCCTACACTGGTCCTGGAAAGCCACAGTATTCTGTTCTTTATTCCCACTGAGCCCTTAGTGACACAATGGAGTCAATTATTTTGCTTAATTGGAACATGTTTTACCTGTCTGTTTTCCCTGAATATTTAAAGATACCTACAAAATCTTCATTATTGTAGCTGTACAAGTGCATAGCCCTGACAGCAGAATTTCACTTGTATTACACAGTAGTCTTTGCTGACATAAGTAGATTTAAACATTCAGATTGAAAGAGATATAGCTTATACTTATTTTTTGTTACTGTTTCTTGAAGACTGCATCATCAGCATTTTAAAGCCCGTGTTGACCATCGGTTTTTGACTTTGGCTTAGAATGATCCATTTATTGACTGACTCTTGTCCAGGTTTTGCGATTTATTCCTCTAACTCCTTTTCCCTGTATTTCTCTCTGCAGAATGCCTTTTCATTACTGAACATTCTATAATTTGCACATTTTTCTCATTGTTTGGTTTCAGACAACTTCCTATGTGTTCAACACTTTAGTCTAAATGCATTATGCTGAAATCACACATTTAGAGAAAATCACTAGTAAGAAACATAGCTTTCTGAGAAAAAAGCAGACTTTCTAATTTGTGTTCCAACAGGTGAAGTTCGGCTCACACCAGAAGATTACACCAGGGCTCAGAAATACTGCAAATATGCTGGCAGTGCTCTGCAGTATGAAGACGTCGGCACAGCAGTCCAGAATCTGCAAAAAGCCCTCAAGTTACTTACTACAGGAAAAGAATGAAACCTTTGTCTTCAGTGTCAGTGTATCAGTTATCTGGCCAAAAGAACCAAGAGGCTATTACTCCACCCTCAGCTGTATCTGAAGAAAGCAATTCTGTTGAAGCCCTCAAATTCACTATAAACAACAATGAAATGTGTGTCTCTACTGGATTCCTGCTGTAGCTTTTATTGACAACCTATTACTGAAATAATGAACTATCTTGAACTGAATCATTTAAGCTTTTGATGTTAATTACTTCATGTAAAACAGTGAAACACACAGGTAACAAAGTTATGATTTATCAAACTTTTTACAGCAGCAGAGAAATGAATCTCAGCTGGCATGCTTGTATTTGCTAGGCCCTTTATATTAGTAAGCAAGTAAGAGTAAGGTATCTGAATTAACTCCATTAAAAATAGACTAAAATGTTTCAGTTAGAGTCAACATATTTAGGCAGAATGAATGTCATTTCTTAAGGACATGCACTGTGCAGTTTTTTTTTTGTAGTGAAAGGTTTGCCATTTTAGTTTGTTAATAAAATGATTTTTGAGACTTAAAAGATGAAAATGTGTTATTTCAATAACTGTCAATGAAGAGCATTTTATTTCTTGATCATTGAGTGACATTTCTGGCTTGATTGTCACTGTACATCTAGAAAGCTGTGGTGACTCTTAAGAAAAAGGGTTTATGCTTAATCCATAGCAGGCTTTCACAATTTCTTATCATAAAGTAGCACCAAAGTTCCAGCTCTTTCTACTTACTGAGTTGTAATGTTCCATAGCTTAAGGTTATACTGTAAATGAACTGAATTTGCTGATTTTATCTTCAGCTGACACCATTGCATACTGCTAACATAAGAAAATGTATTATTGTTTGTTATTGGAAGTCTAAACAAGTTGATCTATCAATTAAATTGCCCAGTAAAACATACATAGAAATGAACTGGGAAGTTTTGTGTGTATAATTTACATGTGCAACTGCGTTTGCTTCTTGCACATATGTGTCATCTTCTCTGTAAAGTGATTTTCACAAGAATAAATATGTTTACTCATAGAGGGTCTGAGGCAATAGAAAGAAGTACTAAATGTGTACATATTGAACTGCATAATGTCAGTAAAATCATTTAAAAACTACAATGCTAAAACCCAAATAGTTTATTTTAGTACAGTGCTTGGGCAATACTCACAATAAAGATTAAAACAAAACTGGTCAAATTCATTAACACCATTTACCCATTTTGCTTAAGTAAAGGTGTTATTGTATTTCTTGTTCATTTTACCATTGCATACAGTAGGTCATACTGTGCCCTTAAGATAAGTGAGAACGTGTGGAGATTAGTTTCTTCCATACATTATTTTTCATAATATTTATCAATTAAGTATGCATAAACATCTATGAAGGTCAATCTTTTGGTTTGGACCCCTCTCCCCCATGACCCATAAGATGCTGAAGTTTTCTACACGTTAAAACTTCCTTCTGCTGTCATGCTACTAAATTTTAACGACAGTTTGAAGGTAAACTTCAAACTTAATACCTCAGTGGAAAAGAAGTGAAAATAATGTTGAGGTAGCTTGGTTATATAAATATGAACAGCATAAAATTGAATATTTTTGTTAATCATTTATGTACTGTGTTCTTAATGTTTTCTGATTAAAATGAAAAGAAATATGATTGCATAAATATCATGCATACAGTACATATTGCTTTGAGTGACTAGAATAAACAAAGCAATTAGTGATATGTATTCTACTTATGAAGTTTTGTTATCTTACAAACTTGTGATATTCATCTTGTTAAACTCAATTAACCTTCTCTGACATTTCAGTATCATTATTCATAAATGTATCTTCTAGGTCCTTAGAGAACTATAATTCACTAGCACTTGCAATTAAAAGCTCTTCTTCTCTGAAGGTAACATGCAAGAGCTGGTAACTGCGTGAACATAATTATAGAACGTTACCCTCCAGTGTAGAAAATTAAGCAAACAGTGAAGCATGCTCAAGTACAAATGGTGTGTATTAAAGTCTAATGTGAAATATAGTACCATATAAATTATCCATAAAATGAATACAAACAGAATTTGTTGACAAGTGTTAACATTTGAAAATAGGGTAAAATTGCATTTCAAAATCATTAAACATCAGTACTATTACAAATATCTTACAAAGTATCTGCTTTTAAATGTTTGCTTAATAGTATTAAAGGTGTTTTAAGGAATTTAAAGTTCCAAGCTTTTATGTTTCAGCTCCAAACCATTTATGTGTGTAACAGAACAATTTATACATGTTTATCATCTACTGTATATTTACATATATAGGTATATTCGTTTTAATTTTAATAATGCTATCAATTTATTTCATGCTAACTAAAGGTGATTAAATCTACTCTGAAGGCATTTCCTGATATGAACTTATACATCATTTATGAGTTCTGATACACTTTAAATAAGTGTATCAGACTTGTGAACTTCCTTTTTTATTTGATAGAAAATCCACCATTATCCTTTAAATGTCTTGTTTGTCATTTTGAAAGTAAATTTATAATTGCTTTATAAGCTTGGGTTGTGTTTTTGTTATTGGTCAACCTTAAATCATCAATTTCTTAATCCCTCCAACAATTTAGTTCTGACCACTGTTTTAGAACAAACCACTCAATTAGGTGGTTTGTTCTAATAAGTAGTTTAGAGATCCTTTGAAATGAGCAAATTACCTTTAAGAAATGGTGACACCTATATAAAGGCATCCATCCTATAAATACAGTTATATTGATATAAAGTATAAGAGTATTTAAACAAATGACGTAATAAAACCTCTCATGTTTGAAAACTATTTACCCTAGAAGTTAGAACACTATAAAACCATTGCATATTTCACAGAGATCTGTCCATGTCAACTCCAAATATGCATTTAAAGAGCTGGAGGCTGAGTGCCCCAGTCAGTAAGTGAGCTCTCTTGGTTGGGCTCTATAATCCAGATGTCACCTGTTCAAACATGTTCATGTCACTATCCAGCTGTAATGGAGGTTCCCTTAGTGACAGCGCACAGCTGTCTGAAACCCACCAGGAGAAAGCTGGGATTAGTCAAACGACTCCAATTGCTACTTTGTGTAAGACATTGTGGAGCTTGCAAAGGACTAGAAATAACCTGTCATTCCTAAAAAATCCCCCCACCTTTCTTTGGGTACAATGCATCACTTCTTTGTTGTGCTGCAAAAACAAATGGACACTTGGTAAGTATAGCGAAACAGCTCACTGCTTATGTTTACAGACACACCTAGATAGGATGTCTCTGCTGCTTTGAAGTTACCATGCAGAAAACATACAGTTACTGTACATGCATGTAAATAATGCACAGTTAAGGAATATAGGTGCATCATGTGACAATGGAACACCCACCTCACAGCAAGGACTTGTGGTGTTCATGTCTTGAAATTCCTTAAAGATGCACCATGATTTGCAGATGACAGCATAAAGTAATATGCATCACATTTTTTTAATGTGCCCTTTTTTACCTTTTTATTTATTTTTTCATCTGACCTTTACACTGTTGCATTATAGTAATTTTACTAAGATTTTAGTATTTAGTAAAGTAATTTACATGGACATTATCCTTAAATTAAATATACTGTATATGTATAATTCATACCTTGTCTGAAAACATGTTCTTGTCAGTATTCACTTTACAAAAACGTATGAATCCAAAGTACCTTCAGCAAAACATTTCAGTGCTGAATGACAATGCAGAGATGTTATTTCTGACCATTCAACCCTCTTTAAAAACATATATTCTTAGCTGTTACAGAATAATCATTTCTCTAATGTCATAAGAGAAAGTTGAGGAGCTTGGGGCACTAAAAGCAATTCATTTTCATTCAACGGGATGACTAATAAACCTGTCAGAAAACTTGAGAGACTGAGAGAGAGCATGAGAGTCCTACAGTTCTTACAACTAAGATTGTGGATTGGATTGTGAAGTTATTTACAGAGCATAGAGCAGGAAAGGAGAAAAAAGACAAGTGGAGTAATATGATCCTGCTGCCTAGAAGACAGTAAGAGTTCAGACAGTAGCGTACTAAACACATTGCCGACTTGAAAGAGTTTTCTGTGGGAGTTGGCTGGCAGGGAATTACAGTAATCAAGTCTACATATGACCATAGAATGAATATATTTGTGGAAATCAGCTTTCATGAGACACGAAATACTGCAAAAACCTGTTTAATTAAAACTCATGTTGGAGCAGGGTTAGACAATCCTTGTCCTGGAGGCCCGATGTGTCTGAGTTGGTTTTCATTCCAGATCAGCTCTTAACAAGCTAAACCGGCTGATTACCAGCTTAACCGGATACATTTAACAGCTTTTTCAGGTCAGATTTTGCTGCTTTAAAAAGACCTGCCGATATATTAGCCATTCAGGAATAGTCATCCCCTGGGTTAGAGCCCTGAGTCTAGTATGAACCCTAAATTACATGAAATCGTCATGTTTTTAAAGCTAGAATATAAAGCCTATCAACCAAAACAAAGAAACTAGACAGTATTCCCTCCCCCAGTGATAATTATTCACCATGATTATTCTTTTTTCCAAATTTGGTGCCCTCTTGAGTAAGAGCTTTAGAGTTGAGTTGTAGGGTAACAAGACACAATATAATTTGTCTATTTTATTTCGATGGATATGTTTTATTTTATGCAAAATGAGCACTTATTATGGTCAGATTAATTAGAGAATGAAAACGCTAAAGGACCACCCAACTGCATGTTTATACCTAAGTGCCAAGGAGTATTAGAAATAAAATGTAAGAGAGTGGTGTCAAGTTGCATTAGAATGCATTTACATCTAAAATTGAAATTCAATAAGAGTGAGTATTGCTGAAGAATATAGCATAAGATCATATGAACAGTGGTTGGGGTGTAGCACAAAAAGAGCATTCAGGAAGATACCCTCAATGCATCACAGGTCTCAGAATCTACCAGTCTGGTTTGACTGTTCAAGGAGTACACTATTGTAGCAGAATGGCCCAACCCCCTCCCGATGAGCTCATCGAGGACCTGTCTGTACAAGATCTTTCTTCGCTTCCTACTCACTTGACACAGTTTCATTTCTTCTTTTTTTCTCATTCTATGTAACAACCCACAGCCCCCAATCACAGTTTACTCATTTTTTTCTCTTGCTTCCCAAGAGAGCCATTGAAGTCCTGTGGTCAGAGTTAGCCCAGCATTCCCCTCTAAGGAAGTCAGACAGGCCATATACTGTAAATAAAACCACTTATAACTGTAGTTCCACATCAATTCCATACAACTGCAACTTCCCAAATAGACACCTGCTGAAAGCCTGTCACAGCTACAGTACATTCAACCGAATTCAGATATTAATTATAGTGCAATATTATATAACGAATTCAGTTATTCGAGTGAAAATGGCAAAGGTAAAATTACTTTAAATTTCTTTACCTTTCTTCACATAGATTGGGGAATACTAATATGCACATCTGCATGGAGCGGTGGCTCTGTGGCTAAGGATCTGCGCCTGTGACTGGAAGGTTGCCAGTTCAAATCCTGTGGCCAGCAGAGGAATCTTACTCCATTGGGCCCCTGAGCAAGGCCCTTAACCCCAACTGCTCCAGGGGTGCCATACAATGGCTGACCCTGCACTCTGACCCCAAGCTTCTTTCCCTGTCTGTGTCTCCATGGAGAAAAGCTGGGGTATGCGAAAAGATGAATTCCTAATGCAAGAAATTGTATAGGGCTAATAAAGAAACATTATTATTATCTGAAACTGAAATGTCAGGCATGGCTAACAATTGCTTTGCTATCTCAGTTTATCAGAACACCTACTGTACAAGAGGAATGGTCTATACTGGTCTATTTTTTACACAATAAATATAGAGTAAGGAAAAACATTGTGAGAGAGCAATTGGAACTGTACAGGCACAATAAACCTTTTTTTTAATTTCAGGAATGCAGACTATGAAGGAATGAGACAGTTTGAGAGAAACAGAATGGACTAAAATAAGAACAGAATCAGTATAGAATGTAGGGATTGTAAAAGCATAAACATATTCTCTTTAAATCCCACAAGAGATTCATTCCATTATTAAATCAAAGTCTATAAATCAGTGCCCCATACGTTTTAGAGTCTCTCAATGTAGATGTAACAAAATGAGGAATTCCTTTATCTCACATTCAGTCAAACTACTCAATAAAGGATTATTGGTTTATGGGCAAGTGCAATTAGTTGTTAAATTAAAATGAAGGGATAATGTGCACTTATAGGAGCTTGGAGTGATGGTAGGGGAAGTAAATTTACAGGTTTACTGGTAAAGCACCTTGGGGCAACTTGGCGCTATATAAAAATAAATTGAATTGAATAATATGGTCTACAGTATATGCATTCCTGCAGGACTTTGTATGGGTTGCTGTGTTTTATGTAATGTTATATTATTTATTGTAATTTTTTAAAGCCTGTGTGTGCAAACATTGCTGTCTGGATGATAAACATTTCTGAGAAATCAGACAATAAATTGTCTTAAATTAAATTAAATTTAATTAAATTCTGAATTATCATTTTAGAATTAATTGTTGTAAATTTAGAATTGCAATTTTAAGTGGGCATTTAAGGAAAGGCATGTTTTTGAATTGAAAGCTGTTTAATAAACAAAAACAGACAGATACGGTACAAATGCTAAAATTGGGACAATTCAAAACAAAAAGACCACCAATTTTCCTAATTTAAATCAATATTTTGTACTGATGTAGAATTTTTTACACACAATACCCTCCTCTCATTGGACGCCTCTTAGGTGCCTTTACAGTATATAGATGTCATTAATAAGCCACTAATAAAAATTAAAAATTATGCGTGGTGTGGTTGACAAAATGCATTCAAGTAGGGTCCACAATTAAGTCAAATATAATCATACACAATTAGTGGTATACACCAATGAGACATTAAACACAAACCATGGTGGCGTCTGTCCATTAAACTTTCAGAGTAACAGTATTTTGGGGCAGTACATGTATATATACTTACAGTATATGTTCTAAATGTTAAACCCTATCTAACTGTTTATACAGTGGGATAGTACCTAACATTAGTTTCCGATTGATGCAAATGTTTTGAATTGTCTCTCATTTTCTGAGCGATCCTTGAGTGTGGGTATGCGGATTATCATGGTGAAATATTCATTTAACAATCGTATTTACAGTAATATTGATACTTTTTAAGAAATGTTGGAGCACGGGTCTTGAAATGCAGTGACATAACATACGTAATGCTGTATAATGATGTTTCTATTGATAACGTCTGCTCATAAAGTTGGCATTAATTATCCCACATTTTAGGCCAAATCAATTTAATTCCCTTATCAAAACAGCATTAAATGTTTTATGCTTTCCCTGTGAACATACTGCATACTTTACTGCTGTCAAATGATTTGTGAGTGATCACTCCTGTATTGCTACAATACGTGCTGTTGTTCAGTTCACGGATGCATCATTTCAAACTATAGTTCTGCTGGAGTCCATTTATAGTGGATAGGCAGGACCGAGCTTGCCATTCCACCTTCCAGCAATATTCCCAGAACATATTTCTCTCTTCTAGTGCCACAGAGTCATTGTGGTTTAATTAAACTTGCCCAACCAACATGTACAGTACAATAAATGCAAACTCAAGCATAAATTATGTGATATTATCAAATAATTATTGTAGTTTTTAAAGGTATATGCCACATAATATCATACTCACTTAAGTTCATTATGGAAGCTTTCTAAAATGACCAATTAAAGTTGAGAATATATGTTGAATTATTAAAGTGTTTATTTCGTGTGGGGAGGGTTTGATGGCTACCAATCTGGAATTCCATTTTTCTACATTATTTGCATTTATAGTTACATATAAAAAATTTCAGAGATCGTGTTTGTCCATTGGCCTATCACCTTTATGTAGTCTGCATTCTGCTCACTATTCAGTAATGCAGAAGAAGGCTGAATGATGTCATTGCAAATGGTTTTGTTTCTTTTCCCTCACTATATCTTACTTCCACATGTAGGATCCTTAACCTCTAGAGAGGCTAAAGATAAAGGATGCTTCCACAGAATCACATTTTTTTTTTCTGTTGGCTACTTTAAAATAAGACGATCCCAACAATTTAGTCCATATTTAAAAGCAAAATATTGATAATGTTTTGCCAATTATTGTTCAGAAATAGACTTCAGGGAGTTCCCTTCTACCAGTGACGGGGACACTATACTCTAAACAGGCGCCGTCCTTTGGATGAGATGTAAAACAGAGGTCCTGACTCTCTGTGGTCATTAAATATCCCAGGACGTTTCTCGAAAAGAGTAGGGGTGTTACACTGGCTTCCTGACACAATTCCCATTGGCCCTTACCAATCATGGCCTCCTAATAATTCCGATCTATGAATTGGCTTCATCACTCTGCTCTCCTCCCCACTGATAGCTGATGTGTGGTGAGTGTTCTGGCGCACTATGGCAGCTGTCGGCAGGTGGATGCTGCACATTGGTGGTGGTGGAGGGGAGTCCCCATTACCCGTAAAGCGCTTTGAGTGGAGTGTCCAGAAAAGCGCTATATAAGTGTAAGCAATTAAATTAACTAGACCACTGTGAACAGGAGTTATTCTTGTAGTTGTGCATTTTTCATTGAGTACTTAAGAAAACTTGCCTCAGACAGAGAATTAGCTGGTGTTTATGTCTTACTGGGTGCTGGAGGTTTTGCAGTGTTGTTGGTGAGAGTCACATAATTCTTCTGGTCCATGTTAATTAATGCTGCTGTTGGCACTGAAGGAACCACTGTGCAAATGTGGAAATGGTTCAACAGAACTCATCATTCTGTCCTGATAGACACAGAACAGGGTGTTACATGGATTCAAAGATCATTACGTCTTAACAGTAAACGTTTACACTATGTCTCAGGATGAAACCCTCGAGCAGGAGCATGAATAATGAGAAGAGAGTGGGTACAAACACAGTGTCCTGCAGGATTCCTCACATTGATTTTGATAAGCATGAATTAAAAATTATGCGTGGTGTGGTTGACAAAATACATTCAAGATGGGTACTTTACATTCCTCCTCTTGCAATGTTTTAACAACCTGAGACTTCTCACAAAAAGTAAAAAAAAAACATAAGAATGTCTAACTTGTAAGTACATTTTTTTCAAAACTGTTAGTGTTTCAAAGACCATCCTCTGAGTGTCAATTTAAACAGATTCTATTAACTACATAGAATGAGGATATATTAAGTCTTTCAAATGTTGAGAAAAGATAATTTTGCTTCTATATTAAAACAATAATAAACCAACATTTCGAAAATTCTACAAATATTAGAATGTACTTGTAAAAATTCATCAATGATCTTATAATATCAGAAGAAGGGCATCATGTTTGAAAAGGATGATGTATGTTGTCTTCCATGGAGAGACAGATGTATATTATACATACAACATAATACAAAAATAGCAGAAGATAATAACTCTCAAGAATAAATCGGGACACTAAATCCGATCCTTCTACTAGTAATGGCTTCATAGTCTGTCAATTAGAAAGCAGCTGTCATCAAGTTCATATTTTAGGTCAGAGTAATCTGTTGGTGTGTGTTAATTTGTTTATTTTTAAATTAACGTTTACGCTGTATGTGATTCCATTAAATATCTTTCTTTACATGTCACTTGTAACATACTGTACATTTTAGTGTTGTTACCTCTTAGATAACTTCCAAAAGTTCAGAACTACTTCAGCATATTATCATTATTTTAACAGGTTTGGTAATGCTCATTTCAGGTTAATGGCTACCACGCCATCCCATTTCATTGAATATATTTTAGGTTAAATTCGTAGTACTGATGAGTATGTCTTTTCTGCAATTTCCCTCACGGGATCAATAAAGTATCTATCTTTACAGGTTTTCATTAAATTTCTTATAATATTTTTAACAGAAATGTGTGTTTTTGGGAGACTAAGTGAACTCTTCATACAAATAACCGTGAATTATCGTGACCTTTCACCCTATAAATGACATTTCACGAATCACGACTAAGTGACTTAAAAGTCCCGCGAGCTGTCAAAACATCTATCAAAAAATAAACAGCATCCATTTAGAGTTTTTTCTTACTCAAACTGAATGAATAGTGTCGTCTTATAATCTTCTTCGTGGTCTGTTCTTTTCTAAGCAGTACTATTTCTTGCACTCTTTTTGAAAAAAAAAAAGGTGGTATCGTTAAGTTTCGGAAAGCATCTATTTTCACTTATCGCTTTTATTCTATTGCCCAAGAAGACTATTTCAGAAGCCGTCTGTCCCAAAAAATTTTTGTTTGTAGAAAGAAAAAAGAGAAATGCATGTTATTTCCTCTTTTTCTAACGCAGATCATATTACTTGTATTGCAAGATCTTTTTTATTATTAATCGTGTTTTTTATATTGGGTTGTTCTCCTGGTATTTTTCCTTGGTGTTATTGTAGGGTGGGGCGCCAGCACTGCCTCCAGTTGTGCGGTTGAACAATTCATGACTCGAAATCCGTTTCCAACAGCTTTAAGCATCTTATCTAACACGGAGGAACAGGTTCATCAAGGGAATGTGTCCTTCTGTACAACCACGTTGACTGGCTACAATCCCGAATGTGGAAATTTATTTAACATCGCTTTATATATGTATATTAATCCATGACGGGCTGAATGCGGTAGTACTGTCAAGTTACTGTACCAAAGTTTTTTAGAAGCTGAAAACTCCACTCGGGCTGCGGAGAGAGAAAGAATGCTTCTTCGCAGAGACCAGCGTCCAGGGCAATAATAGAGAATGTAAGTTCAGAACTTATTTATTTTATTTTATTTCGCTCTTTTATGTTATGTATCATTTTTTTCCTTAAATTCTTTTTGCATGTTTCTGGAAATACTGTAGCCATAGTTTACAACCACATTCTCCGTTGCTCATTTTTGTCTTTAATCACGTTCGCTTTGTTAATTAAAATTTTGTACAATGTGTAATACAATCTAAGCATACATTAAATCTTTCTTTTACAAGTAACACGACATAAAACATTACACATTCTCTCTATTACGTCTGTAGATCATATCTTAATCAAAACTCTGTTGTCTTAAGTCTTGTCCGCTTCAAAGCCAGGTTCATACAAATCGGAGGGTCTTTTCTCAGAGACACAGTGCGATTTGGTGTCTTGTTCATCACACGTACACTTCGTCAAGATAATAATGATAGAGAATCTGCAAGTATACAGTAGGCTATCTTAATGTGTTACAGTATATTCTCAATTTAAAATAACAACCAATAATCTGACTTCTTTGAAATGGCTATTTAATTCAGTTCAAAAACTTTTTTATCATCATTCACCTACTTTTGAAAGGCATTATTCACGGAATGTAGAAAACAAATGTCTAAAGATATGGGAATCTCAAGTTTCTCTGCCTAGGGAATTTATTTTCAAAAATGCATTTGCATCCATTTTCTAAACCGCTTTATCCGCGTGGGAAGCCAGAGCCTAACCAGAAAAGCAAGCAAGGGGCGCAAAACGCATTACATGATTAATAGCAATAGTGCTATCAATTATAAAACATTAGAAGTGGAACTGCAATTTAAATGTTCCAGTGTTAAAATAATCAGTGGAAACCAAATGTATAACAATCTTGATTTTGTGCCATAATATGTTTTGGGTGAAAGTTTCCTCTTTGTTTTGCGAGACCCTGGGTCAGTTGTGAGTACCCCTGGGGCTCCTTGGACTCCTGGCTGAGACTTTTAACATTCAGATATATATTTTTAAAGGAAAGTGAGTTGCAAAACTTCAGACAGTTAAAATTTTCATTAAAACAATCTAATAAAGGATTAACTCCCAAAACATTTCTGGGTTGTATTCTGCTTCTCATTAGATACAGCACTAGGAATTTGTAGTTTACCATCAACATAAAACGATGTATTTCTAAAGAGACCCAAAGGGGCATTTTGAAATTGTTGCTCTTTACTTACCCAGGATTATTGAAGGATTTGAAAATCTGATAGCCATGAGCTGTTCAGATTATTTGTTTAAGTGTGGTAAACTCACTCTTAGTGATGCATTTAGTATAAAATTACATTCTGAACTGTTTTTTATGCTGTTCTTTTATGCTTTTTTAACCTCAGTGAGAATAATTTAGCGGACATGTGCCTTGTTGTTTGATGAACATTGAAGAGCAGAACTGTATATTATGCTGCAGAGATGTAGCCAGAAAGGAAAATCAAGCCCCTATAGTTAGTCTGTTTAGTGTCTTCATAGTCTGGCAGAGTTCCAAGACCTGAGCTGTACCATAGCTGGTTTCGGGTTAAGTAAAACAGTCAGGTGTAGAGTAGTTATTACCACAAAGGTGACGGTGTGGGAGTCTTTTCTATGCCCCAACTATACAAACAGTGATGAGTGTGATCAATAATGACTGTTTTATTTTACAATGGTTACATCGAAGTAAGAACACAAAATAATTTAACTTTCAAACTTATAATGAAGGTGGATAGTATTGAAAGGATTTGGATACAAGTTAAACTGTTAAAATTTCTATTAGTTTGTAGTAAGGCTGTACACCTTTGTGTCAAGGTTAAATAGAAATTACTTCATACATCATTGCGTATAAAGCGGTTGTGTTGCTATGGAAGAGTTCAATAGCTTTTTTTATTTTTCTTGGGGTGCAAGTTTATGGCGTTTTACTAAGTATAAAAACACTTTTTAATCTCTCTTTAAGTCTCCATTGATGTTCCAAAAAATAAAGCAAACTTCAGCCGTGAGTGTATTCTCTTATGTAATAGCTTTACAGTACATCAAGGGAGTAAACGCATCCCCTCTTTTCATAAATTAACTTTTATTTTCTGTTTGAATAAGGGTTCAGGTTTTTTTCATGTGTGGCCATTTTCCAAAGTGCAAAACAAACATACTGTAAGTAAAATCAATTTCAGCCACAGCAGCTCACTGGGCCTGATCCTATTCTGGTTGCTCTAGCATTAAATGGACTACAGAGCATGGGACACCCCCACTGGATGAGACAGTGGTACTTCACATGGATTATTCCCCAGCAGGGCTGGTCCCCAGTTATCCAGCTACATGGACTGGAGCAAATGGGGTTAAATACTATACAGTACCCCCATCAAGGTACAACACCAGTTTCTGTAACAGAGACTTGAATCCAAAACCTGTTAGTCAAGAGTCTGAGTCCAAACGCTGACCCACTGTGCTATACCACCTACAAAGAGCAAGAATCTTAAACGTAATGGACTTTGAGAGAAGAGTTAAACATAAAAATAGTTATCTCTATACCACATAATGATAAGAGAACTGTGTGTGGAGAGAAACATACAGTATCTGTATTTAGCTGTGATTCACAAAAGCTGAGAGACATTCACTACTTTGCTGTTCCTTCAAGCATAATTCCAAAAGTAAATGTGATTTAAAAAAAACATGAATGGAAAATGAAAAAGAAGAAATAATTTGCAGTTAAATTTAAATTTTGTAGAACATGGTTTCTTTATTGAGTTAATTTCTTAATGAGTAGGCTGGATACTATGAGTACAGTCTTATGTTCTACTGTATAACAGAGTACAGTACGTACAGTATTAAAATATGCATTTAAGCTTTCGTTCTATTTACATCAAATATAGATGCCAAAGTCGTATCTTGTAGAAAATAAGATAAGAACATATACTACAACTATACTATACAATTTTCTGTATACATTTATAATTAAACCTGACTTATTTTTTTCTATGTCAGGTACTTAAGCTATAACTGTTATGATCTCTGAACTTTCTTTTACCATCTCTTAGTCAAACATTATTTCTCCACATATCTTTGAAAAAGGAATGTTTTTTATCATGATCCTCAGTGTTTCTTGACTTTCTTTTATGATAACTAAACAGTTCATACTAGTAGATAACCACCACCTAAACCATTAGGTATGGTTTACCTGAATATGAATGTAAAAATAGAATTTTCAAGGACTGGGGACTATGCGTTTGAATTGCTACCCTTGGTTATTTTACATTAACATGAGTTGACAGAAACAGGACCATAAAAGTGTGGCAACACAGCCCCAAGACACATGGAAAATAGGATATTTGTAATTTCACATGTATTCCTGCATTGGAAACTATTTTGCTTTAGGAATGATGTGATGTCTCAAATTGGTTAATGAAATGAGGTTTTCATTCAAAATGTGACCAACATAAGAAAAGGGTAAACTGCCAATTTTTCACAGAGGTGCCATGAATCAGCAAGTGCATTTCACATACAGTACAGTCTTTTAACTGCTTCAGTGCACAAATAAATGTCTTGTTGTGGTTTTCAGTGCTGTTAAAAGTAGTCTTTTAATATTTTAACAAGGTTTCTATAACTGCTGCTGTCTTGTGTCTTATATATCATGTCTTATGATGGGAGTTTCTGGTTTATCCAGCAGAGAAATTAATGCAAATCCAAGCAATAGTGGAAAAACACAGGTGTTTCTGCAAAACGTTTAATGCATACAAGAAACACAGACTCAGGCAGCAAATTCATAGTAATTAATGTGTTTTTTGCCATTCCTAAAATCTATCTTGGTCTCTTTCCTTGTACAAGACCATCTGTCAGGATCCTGTCCCACATTACTTCTGGGGTCTTCTTATATAATAGGCTCCAGTAACCGATCAATTATTATTTTAATTATAGTTAAGAGAAGTATGGTTGTGCAGCGGTTAGCAGTGGTTAACATTACTGCCATGCTGCCTTGCGGTACTGGTGTCCTGGTTTTAATGGCTGATGTGCTCTATGTGTGGAGGTTAACTGAGTTCTTGGGAAAACTGGCCCTGGTGTGAGTGTGTGAGTGTCTGTGTCAGAGTGTGAGCCCTGCGATGGACTTGCGTCCTTTCCAGGGTGTATCCTGCTTTGCACCCATTGCTTCCCCAGCCAGGTTAGGAGCCACCGTCATCCTGAATTTGATAAGTGGTTTTGAAAATAATGTCATGTGATATTGCAGTTTTTAAGTAGAAATTCTGCAGGATGACATTTTCTAACCTCACCATTTCAACTCTTCTATGCATAAATGTCTCTTGGCCACCCCTTTGGCACATGTTTTTCACATCCCTTCCTCCCCCACATCTTCATCCTTTCAGCTGCTCCCTGGTTCATTCCTCATGAAGTGAGGGAGGTGTCCTGTCAGCCTCGTCCCTAGAGTTGCTTTCATTTTGCTTAACCAGGCGAGTTAATGCCAAATAACATCAATACATTTTGTCTCTATGTGGCATTAATTAGGAATTCACCAATCTACTGAATCATTATTATTTAAGTTCAAGAACAAACAGATGTTTACAAATGAGAAGAGAATGCTAAAAAACTAGATAAGAGCTATTTAAACTTAATGTATTTCTCTTGTTTGTAAGTTTCTTACATTCTTATTCAGTTATTCCAACCAGTTTTGTAGATAATAGTGAATGTATCTGAACATGTCATGCAGTCTTTTCAAGAAAGAAGCTAGGATATAAACTTTAGCTCTATTGCTGAATATCATATTTGCATATTCCCACAACCTTTTGTGAAAAAAAGTACCTTCAATTCTTGTCTTTAAATGCCCTACAGAATAATCCTATTCTCAAAGAATCCTATCATAGTTTTGGGGATTCATGCATAGTGCTATTCTGTGCCAACAAAGAATGTAAGTGTGTCTTGTAAATATTGTTCTTTTATTTCAATTCAATGAAATGATTTGTAAACATATGAATATAGTACCAAAATCATACAGACCACTTTGTTTCTTATTTTTAATTTTTACTATTTTTAATTATATTCAGACTTACAATT